GGATAAGGTCCTATGAGTGAGTGGCTGCAGTACAGGCATTTAACCACTTCTTAACTTCTTTTGAGAAAAGCCTAGAAGTATTCTGCTTTCCAGAAGAAAACATTAAAGTAGCTTGACAACCTATTCATCATGAGATGTCAAACATGGGGACTGAACACGTACATCCCATTTCATCTTCTTTTTAAAATGCCTTTGTAACCTCTTAGGGTGTGTGCACATAAGCAGGGGTGTTTATACAAGACAGAAACCATGACAGGGGAAACAGGAAAAAAATAACATTATATTTACTTGCAGTCCATTTTGGCAACATGTTTTCTGTGGTAGACTATACTTGAGCTCAATGTTTGTACTACTGTGTAGCTGATTAACTGCACATTTTTGCCAGCCTTATTTGAGGCCCACAGTTATCCTAGAACTTGCCTATATTCCTCCCCACCACTGAAAACATTATTGTGTTTTCATACAGAACACAGAAAACATAAATATGTGGCTTCTATGGAATAGCACTATAGGGTTTGCTAATCTTTCTCCTCAAAAAGAATTCCCCGCAGTAAAAACTAAATTTTAAAAAAATCAAATCCAAAACTTGACATCTAATCATTTCTGCCTTTGATGTCTCTAATTATTTTTCCTACTCTCAACCCTCATTTTTGGAGCTGGTGCAGTCAGTAGGTGAGTGCTAATAATAAAAAATTGCTGCCCTCCTTCAGTGCTGCCTAGGCTGGCTACCCATGTTCTACTATTGAGCTGTCATGGTTTCTCTCTTTTGGCACACAATATGCATGCTTGATATTACAGAGAGAGAGAGAGAGAGAGAATGAGAGAAAGAAAGTCCCAGTCTGCATGGGCCAAATAAAATATCTTCCTCCCATTACCATGGCGGTCAGTCTGGATGATGCAGGGTCCAATCCTCAGTTTTGGTACAAACTGTCCAAATTACATCCAGCCAGTTCAGCATCAAACCCAAGGTATAACATCTTTAAGATTTGCTCCAGATCTTTCCAGTAGACCTAGTGCCCCCCCCCC